CAGCGCTGGGCCCGGGGCTCGTGATGGGACCCGCAGCGCTGGGCTCGTGATGGGACCCACTCGCTGGGCCCGGGGCTCGTGATGGGACCCGCAGCGCTGGGCTCGTGATGGGACCCACTCGCTGGGCCCGGAGCTCGTGATGGGACCCACTCGCTGGGGCTGCGGCAGAGGCCAGGGAGCGATGGGCGTGTGAAGCGGCCTGGGCTCAGGAACCTGCAAAGGCTGCGGCCCTCCCATCTTTGCCAGGCAGGTAAAGCGCTCCCAAGTCACCTAAAACTGGCTGCGTTGATGGCCGAGGTCCTGAATTGCCTTGGGAGGTTGGTTGGTGTGGCCAGGACCCCACTGCGGGGGGATGAGGAGATTCCCAGGGCTGTCAGTGACTGGGGCTGGAGGCAGAAACAGGATCCTGGGAGGCAGTGGTGAAAGAGGGACACGGAAATGCTGCAGTGAGAGGGACACGGAAATGCTGCTGGGCACCTGGAAGATGCTGCTGGGCACAGGAGGGGACGCGGGAGGAGAGTCGCAGCGCAGACAGACACAGGGCCGCTCAAGCCCCCGAGCTGGCCTGGAGCGGCCTCTGCGCAGGATGGGCTGGGCTGCCCGGCTGGGCCGCTCTGGAGCGCGGCCGGCTGCTCGGCCAGTCCATCCTCACGCTCCTCCTTCCGCAACAAGCGGCCCGCACCAGGAAGGGCCGGGCAGGGGGCAGCAGGAGTCCTGCTGGCAGGAAATCCTGATCAGACAGAACTCTGCATCCCAAAGAAACCCCAGTTAAAGGCAGCACTTACAGGAGTTGCCCAGCGCATCCCAAGGTGGGGGTAGGGGGTCGTTAGGAGGGTTCCTAGAAACTTTCCCAGTAGGAATGTTGTAGGTTGAGTGTGCCATTAAGTGCCAAATCCTGAAGGTGGCAGGAGACACGAGTGCTGAGTTGTTTCCAGGGGGTTTTACCAGTCTGTGGTCAAAAACTTCCAAAGACTTTTGCTCCTGTCGTTTGTGTAGTTTTATTAAATTTTGCAGCAAAAAATGCAATTCATATTTCTACACTTTCAAGCAATTGAACGAAATTGATGGCTGGGGAAATAAAATGAGCTCTTTAGATTTTAACCTTTTTTTGCAGTTGTAAATGAAAGCAAATTGCACGATAGGATTTTGTTACTTTATTTTTCCAAGGGTATATCCTTACATCTGAAAAAAGCCCTAGAAACCCTGTTTTGGATACTTAGGGGCTAGTGAGTATTAGCAAAAGCAAACTAGAAGAGAGGAAAGAATGGACTTTCATATGACTAAGTGTTACTCTGCTAAGTAACTTAGAGAACTTTCAATTTGTTATCAGTACCTGTGACTGTATTGCAGTTGTTAAAATTGTTAACCATAATTGTTAAAGGCAGCCTGGAAAATTCTTGAAAACCTTCTTTAGACGATGTATGAAAAAGTAGGTAGTCTCACTTCAGTTTCAATTGAAAGYGTCTTGAAAAGTTGGCGTTAGAAAGGAAATCTAAACTTGGCAAACTTGTTTCGTTGTCTTTAAGCCATTCAGATATTGACCCCTTTTGCCCGTCTCTTGCAGACTGCAGCTGGCAAGTTAAAGCAAAYGACCGACTCTTTCATGAGCAGCCCTACTTTAAGAGAACGGTGTTCCTGTGCTTCAAAAGAAGCAAATATGCAGTAAGATTTTTGTTATTTTGAGATGATGGGGATGAATGCATTGCTAATCTCGGTGTGATACTTTCAACAACTGTTTACTGGTGTAAAACCCACACTTTTCTCAGGTTTTCCACTAAGGTCAGGAAGTGTTGTTGATTTCAGGTTTGTGAGTGGAAAATCAAGATGTCAAGGGAATTTTTTAAAATGAGACATTTAGAAGCCAGGAGTCTTTAAGCCAATTTCTGAATTTAATCTCAACTAAAGCTGTTATGAGCACCCAAATAGGTTTTGTCTTGYTATATTTCATATAAAAAATCTAATATAGTATTAAGCAATTATCCAGATTAATCTAGACTGGGGACAGTCCTAAAAATTGGAAATGTCCATTCATCTGAACACAGTGAGAGCATTATAGTTTGGTTTATGTCTCCCATTCTGAGGTCACCTACTTATGATCAAGGTGACGTTTTTATCTCATCTATCAAGACGAAAACTTGTTTAGCTTTTCTTTTTGTTTTCCTGTGTTTTTATGTGATCCTGGTTGTTAGTGATAGGCGATAGCAGTGTGGGGTTCCCTGTGACCCAGCCTGGTTTGTCTCTGTGGCTTTGGCTTGTGTGTGTCTTGAGTCCACTGAGATACCTGCTCTGAGGAGCTGAGACAGGATGGGCTCTTTCATGCATATGCATGAACATTTAATCATAAAACTTGGACAAGTGTAGCTGTTATGAGAATGGAAATACTTGATGCTTGGACTAGGTAGGGGACTGATTCTTGTGCAGCTGAACCTTTGCTGGGTCCCGCAGTCCCTCCTGGATTGGTTTAATTATCAGCCCTTTATGTTCGGATTGCTCCTAGTCTGATACCTGAGACCCACTCCTGCCAGATAGCGATCGCAGGTGGGTTTGTGATAGAGCAAATACAAGATTCGGTTGTTGCTCCTCGGAGCTGGCGGGCTGGGAGAGCATCCGAGAGTATCCGAGAGCAGGGCGCGCAGCTGCTGCTCGTGTCTGCTGCACGAAGCAGACCGTGTAATGGGTTAAGCCTGGCACCTCGCGGGCTCCCTYCTGGTCCCCTCACAGTCACACACCGAGCCAGGGAGCACTGCCAGCACCCCCACAGCTGCTGGGGACCTCAGCTAAACTTGTGTGACCTGTGGTGACAGGTCCTGTAGCTTGTTACTAGCGCTCCACATTTATGGGATACTTTATGTTTATTTTAACATATTGCCAGAATTGAAGCTCATGAAGTCCAAAGTGCTTTTTGGAGTATGTTAAAGTCAACAAAACCATTCTTGTGCCTTGGGTTCACTGAGACAGCAACCCATGTTAAACTCTTCAGGAAGGAGCAACTCTAACTGTGCTGTTATAGAAATGATTTGACTAGAAAAATACTTTACTTAGAAATACAAATTGTACGTTTATGAAGAAGAATCAGTGCATGTATTGCTGTTKTGAATGACATTTGATTTTCTTCAACAGGGAAATGCAATTAAGACATACAAGTACAACCCAATCACATTTTTACCACTGAATCTGTGTGAGCAGTTCAAAAGAGCAGCCAACTTCTACTTCCTTGTTCTTCTTATTTTACAGGTGAGATATATTTCACATAGAGAATTTTTTAAGTGTGAAATGAATTTAAGGTGCCTATATCTTAAGCTAAATACTTATGACACAATATGTTGCTATCCTATCATGATATTGAAGGGGACTTCACTGGGGACTGTATTTCCAGTATTGCAGAAACTAAGAACTTGTTAATAAAAATCTGGAACATGGCAGCTTTTATTCCTTGCTTTTGTATCATATAGGATAAGCTATTTACATATTTTATGAATTTTTGTAAGGAAAAGATGTTCCTTTTGGTTCTTTCTCTGTAAAAAAATGATGACTTTCCACTCCCATTCATGAATCAGATATGTCAACACAAAATATAAATTATTACAATTATTGTATGGTCAAGCCTGTCTTAACTGCTTTGTGCATCTTCATGACACAACCTGGAATTCTCTCTTTGATATGTTGGCTTTCTTTGTTTCAAGTCAGTTGACTCTAATGCCTCATTTTAACATGATRGTTATCCTGTATTGAACAGATTTTGTTTGTTTCTTGTAGACGATTCCCCAAATAACAACTCTTTCATGGTATACAACCCTGGTGCCCTTGCTCTTGGTGCTGGGAATAACTGCAGTGAAAGACCTAGTGGATGACATTGTAAGAAATGTGTTTTGTAAATATTAAAAGCAAAAAAAAATTTTTTTTCCAATTGTGCTTACCTAACATGCAGTGAGTACATTCTCTGCTTCTCTGTTTCAGGCTTGTCACAGGATGGACAGTGAGGTTAATAACAGGACATGTGAAGTAATCAAGGACGGGAGGTTTGTGCAGTTCCCTTCAGGCTTTGCAGCAGTGTTTGTTGCCCTGTTGCTAAGTTTCGTCACAGATATTGAGCTATAGATGACTGAAAGTTCAGTACTGTTCTCCAGTCTTCTGCACATGTCTGTGTGACAACTGCAATCAGAAGATAATTGCCTAAAGGAGTCATTWAAGTTTAGTTCTGTGGTACTAAAGCTATGCTAAGAGCAACTTTCTTAGAGAGAATGTTGTTAATTTACATGTATATGGAAAGGGAAAATAAGAGGTAAGTTTAGATCCTAGATTTCCTAGAGGAAATGGCTTCAAACTGAAGCATCGGAAGTTCCACAGGAACTTAAGGAAGCATTTCTTCACAGTGAGGGTGACAAAGCACTGGMACAGGCTGCCCAGAGAGGTTGTGGAGTCTCCTTCTTTGGAGATCTTTAAAAGCTGCTTGGATGCAGCCCTGTGCCACGTGCTCTAGGTGACCCTGTGTGAGCAGGGGGGTTGGACTCGATGACCTCTGAGGTCCCTTCCAACCTTCGGCATTCTATGATTCTATGATCCTAACCTGCACCTTCCAGTAAGGAAAAACACAGCTTATGCTCAAGGTAAAATGTCTTGTACTAAGGACATTTTAAAATTTTAAGTCTTATTAAGTGCGTATGGTTTTAGATGAAGCAGTAATAAACACCAAACTATCTTCATGTTAGGTTCAAAACCACAAAATGGAAAGATATTAAAGTTGGAGATGTCATTCGTCTGAAGAAAAATACTTTTGTTCCTGTAAGTAGTTTAGATATGTTTCTGTCTTATGTTTCTACAGAGATATTCTACAAATATTGACCTGGATTTCTTTGTTGTGTATTTATTTATTTTACTAGGCTGATATTTTGCTGCTATCCAGCTCAGAACCAAACAGTCTGTGCTACATAGAGACAGCTGAACTAGATGGGTAAGGCTCTTTCTAAGGACTTACATTTATTTTTGGCTTATCAATAAAAGAGCAAAACGTGCATATTTTCAAAATATGCTGTTTTAAAGCAATGCAGCGTATTTCAGAAATACACTGTTTTAAAGCAATGCAGTTATTTTGAGGACATAGGTACCGTTATTTTCTTTGTCCCAGTCTTCACGGATAATGTCAGCCCTTAAATCTCCGTGCCAAAAAGCAATCAAGAAGCTAATGGCAAACCACTGGTACAAGAGGAGAGTTGAATTAGGGACCCTCTCTACAACCTGTGCCTGGYGGGCCTCCTGGGATGCACCTGTGGGTGCAAAGGGAGTTGCCTGGCATCGCTGTAAAGCCACTGTCAGTCATCTCCTAAAGGCTGTGGAGACAGGCTATTCCCAGATGCCTGGAAAATGGGAAGTGTTACACCTATCTACTAAAACAGCAAAAAGAGGATGAGGAAACTGGAAACAAGTCAGCCTCACTTGAGCTCCCRGAAAAATTATGTAGCAGAGAACTGTTCAAATTCCAAAATATTATAAGCATAAATCCTCTTGTCTCTGTCAAAATGTTTTGGAATGTTTATTTAGTTCATGTTGTCAGAGAAGCTCCTCCTGAATTTCTTTTAGAAAAGTTTGTAATGAAATGGACTTCACCTAATGAGGTAAAAAGTTATTTTTTTGTGAATGAGCAGTAACTTCCTCCCTCAGCCTTAATGATCTTACAGACTAACATAACTTCATGCAAAGCAAGGATCCATTTGAGTTTGTAAATATGTTTGATCTTTACTGAGCTTTTAACAATGTCACTTATTAAGTATTGTGTTCAGATAATCATTGCCTCAGACTTAACTATCCCTTTAGTAAAACAATGATTCCAGGAAGCTTCACCTCTTTCTGGTGAGCAGAGGTAAAGATGTGCTACACTAAAGATTTCAGTTATGAAGAAAAATGACTAAACTCTTTTAGAACTAATCCCGTAGTTCTTGAATTTTTCATGACTGATAGATTTGCAAATGCATGACGTTGCCATTGCTTCAGATTAGAAGGTTGTTATCTGTGGCATGTTGCTTTGCCTCTTAGTTTTATCAGTTTCTTATCTCCTGTATCTGTATTTTTTTAATTGAAATAACCCTTTTATCCTTTCTCCTTAGTGAGACCAACTTAAAATTCAAAATGGCCCTTGAGGTAACGGATAGRTACCTTCAAGAAGAAAGTGCAATGGCAGCCTTCAATGGTTTGTACTCTTGTATTTTATGCTTACAGCTATTCAGAAGTTGCCCAGGCACTTCATAGTACAAGTACATGAAACATGGGTGCAGGTTAGGGTTCATGTGATCCGGGGTTAGCAGTGTAAATTATGTAAGGAAATAGTTTGTGCTGCTAAGCAAAATGCTCAACAAAATGCTGAACACCTGAGGATAAGAGTCCTGCCYGTGTGCAGGCCACTGTCAGACTGAAGAATACTAAGGGAAAGGTGTTCTATTTGTGACTTAATGCTGTGCTGCTGTGGTGCAGAAATGTATTCTTTCTGCTATTTCAGCCTGAAATAAAATACCACTGAGGATGCAATATTTAAAATGACAGCAACACAGTACTGAATATTTGTGTGTCCAAGTTTTCAAAGAAATGGTTCATTCACAACAGTTGGGTTTTGCATGCAAAAAAATGCATGAGGTAAAGTGCCTTGTATAGTAGGAATTGATACATTTTTATTAAACCAGTGTATATTAAAAACGTTTCCTGCATTTTTTTTAGGTCTGATTGAATGTGAAGAACCTAATAACCGACTGGATAAGTTTGCAGGAACATTATTCTGGAGAAACACAAGATATCCATTGGATGCTGATAAGATTTTACTACGTGGATGCAAAATCAGGAACACAGACTTCTGCCATGGAGTGGTCATATTTGCAGGTATTTATGGAATGAACATCTGTAGCATTTGCTGCCTGGAAGGATGTCTTAGGAAGTGACATGACATCCTTTGCTTATCAGCCGTGGCTGTATTTTATGTCCCAGGCTTATAAGATAGTAGCAATAACACTTACTTGCATGCAATTTTATTTATTTTAGGCGCTGATACAAAAATAATGAAAAATAGTGGAAAGACCAGATTTAAAAGGACACAGATTGACTCCCTTATGAACTACATGGTTTATACTGTAAGCCTTTTTGTTTAAAATCCAGCTGTTTGAGATCACTTTAAGTGAGCAAACTGAATGAATGCAACTTTGGGAATCTTCCTTGGTTTTTAGTTCGTTTTAATGTGTTTCCGCTTTGTTTGAACCTTGGGAGCTGGGCTCAAGTAGAAGGGACTCTCAAAAGCTGCGTAGCTGTTAGTGAAATCTGTGACCCTGCACTGCGTTGTAGGCAGCCTACACAATGCAAAAATATGCTTCAGAAACAGRCTTGCAAGCTCTTCTTGTGGTTTCCACTAAGCCACTGGATAAAGAACTGAACTTAGATCCTGGTCCACAGACACCTTCAGCCTGAAAGGCTTTTCCTCCTGGACAAGTACCCTGGGCCTGTGTGCGACAGGAATAAGCAGTGTCCTCCAATCTGCATCCCTTGTGAGAAGTCACACGTGAAAATGAAGTGATGCCTTTGGGCAGGGGAAGGGGAGAAGGAGCTAGAGTGTTGCCAACATCTAGGACTTAGCTCAGTTGTCGCTGGCTCTGCCCCTGCTCCAAGGACATTCACGTACCCTATGCACTGCGTGCCTAAATAAATGTAAAGAAGTATAAATGATGCTTGCAGAATGGTAAAATTAAAGCATTATCCTATATGAGGATACTGTTTGGGGAAAATTTTCTTCCCTTCCTTTTACTTTAACAAATTAGTATTTTATCTTGAACATGAGATCGGGAATTAGGGCAGCAAACGTTACTGAAGTGTCCCGGGCCCTCTGGGCGTGTGTTGCAGATCTTTGTCTTCCTCATCCTGCTGTCCGCTGGCCTTGCCATAGGACACACGTACTGGGAGCAGCAGATTGGCAACTCGTCCTGGTACCTGTACGACGGAGAAGACTACAGCCCTCCTTACCGTGGCTTCCTTAATTTTTGGGGATATATCATCGTTCTCAATGCCATGGTTCCCATTTCCCTTTATGTGAGGTAGGTTGCCCTTCACCTTAAGATCTTGCCTTTAAACAGCTCGTTTGATCAGACTTATAATTCCCCGCTGGTGATAACAAACAGAGCTTCATGTTGGGTAGGAAAGCAAGTTAATTCTGCTTTAAGGTAATCGCCTGTTATGCAGTTTTACTGGAATAATGTTGAATTTGCTCACTCTCTTTSCTGGAATTTCAGAAGGTGAGCCACGCTGCATTATTTGTTTGTTTAAAATCATGATCCCAGGCTGAGAATTTAAGGATATCAGGCTGTTCTTACAATGCTGAGTATATTTGTTTTATATTTTGAATAGGGTTTTTTTTTTTTTTTTTTCCAAGTAATGATGTCAGAAGAAAATGCAGGATTTATCCTGTCAGTGCTTGACTTGTTTAGTTCTACCGTCTTTTTAAGAAAGTGCATGGAAGAAACTACTTTTAAAATAAAATGAAACATCACGTAGTCACAGTTTATACCTCAAAGGAAAGGCCTTTTCTATTGTCCTACTAAGGATGAGTACCTCTGCTTTTGGCAGATCTCTCTGCAGATCTCTCTTCATGAACTGCTATGTGAATCGTACTTTTGTACTTATCTGCTGTTGTAGAAGCACCATCACTGTGTGCACTGACAGGGCAGCTGGGGCCTTTCCCCAGGGAGCTGCATAGTTTGAGCCCTCAGTTCGGCCTGTGCAGGGGCCAGGCTATGCTGTAACGTGATGGTAAATGTTGCAGCTTAAACATCTGGGCTATGTAAGTAATTTGAATCCCTGAAAATGCAGTCGGAGCTCCCTGGATCGGGTACAGTGCAATTACTTCCCACATCGTCCCATGTTTCAAAATAAGAACTTTGTTTTGTTTCATTCAGTGTCGAAGTGATTCGTTTGGGCCAAAGCTATTTTATAGACTGGGATCTGCAAATGTATTACCCCGAGAAAGACACACCTGCAAAGGCCAGAACCACCAAACTGAATGAACAGCTTGGACAAATCCACTACATATTCTCTGATAAGACRGGAACCCTTACACAGAACATCATGACATTTAAAAAGTGTTGCATTAATGGACAAAGATACGGTAAGTCTAGGCCACTGCAGTTGTGCTGTAAGCAATGAAAAGCAATTCTCAATTTCAGCAGSACATACCAAGTGAATTCTGCTTCTAGCAGCATGAGTGAATTGACATTGGAGTTCCCAGTGGGCCACGTGAAGCCTTTTTCTTCTCTCCCACCTATGTGTGGATGCAAAATGCAGGGAAATGTCAACAGCAATTGAGGGAAGTGGAAAGTTTTCCTGGTTTTGCTTTCCTGGAGATGGGAAGAGGCAGAAACTGACCCCTTTAGGATGTTCCAGTGATGGAAGGAGGCTCTGCGCTCGTGTCCCTGGCCCGAACAGCTCCTGGGGCAGAAACGCTGCCCATGTGAGTTCTAACTCACTACAGGAACATAGCCTGAAACCCTAAAAGTTACTATACAGCTTTGCTGGYGGCCTCGGAGCCTCATTTCTCATTTTTAGCCTATGAAAATGAGTAGAAACTTTAATGCCTGTTCAGGAGGGGTCTCTGTGTGAAATGAGATGTGTACGAATCTCTTCTGTTTCAGCTCAGCCTCCATGATTAGCATTCCAATGAATAAAGATYTGAGAAATCAAGGTTTTGGGAGACTTTCTGCTGTTTGCTCCTTCATAAAGGGCCTGACAGGAAACTGTCCAGGAGAAGACTTAGAAATGTACACAGTGCTTCTGTTTTGGAAGAAACACTCCTGGGTTAAAAATGACTTAGAAACAGGCGACGAAATGCAACGAGAGATGGGTTTTGTTTTGGTGTTAGTTCTATTTCCAAGCTTGTTTGGATTTTAATATTTAAAATACACTGAGAACATACTTCAAAACTGTGCTGTAGTGTGATCATTTCAAATAATGAGGAACGTGGTGTGATAATGATGCATTTTTTTTTTCAAACAACCTGCCTCTGGAGACAGAGGTGGAACCTCTGACACTGAGAATTGCCTTAAAACAGCATAGATGTTTTATGACAAATCCAAATGCTTCCTGTAGAGGGAGTTACCTGAGAGGATACAAAAGTTCTGGTGCTGTGAATAACTTTACTTTTTTATTTGGAGATACTCTAGTGTGACCATTTGCTTCGTGCAAGAGTTGTAAAATCTTTGGTGTTCTCTCTTACACCTTCTGAGTGACGGTGTTTGTGTTGCAGGAGACTGCCGGGATGGGTCGGGGCAGCTGCAGAACCACCCCCAGGTAGGTCACTGATTCAGCCCTGTGTCCCGGGGCAGGGAGCGATCCCTCGCTTGCCAAAACACAGCGTGCAGGGAGCACTGGAGCAGTTGTGCATGAAGTGACCCAGCCCCCCTGTTCTGCTTTTGCCCAGCAAGTTGATTTTAGCTGGAACGTGTATGCAGATGGAAAGCTCTCCTTCTACGATCACTACCTGATAGAGCAAATTAAATCTGGAAAGGATCCAGAAATTCGACAGTTCTTTTTTCTGCTTGCCATTTGTCACACGGTCATGGTTGATGTTTCTGATGGTGAGTATTTTTCCAGGAGAATGGGAAACAACAGTTCAAATCCAGATATACCTGCAAGTGATCAAAAATGAATGTGTATCACATAGAGGGGAGCGAATGTTAGACTGCTCTTTTAAATTAAACAACAGCAAGACCTGTGAGAATTCCTTACAATGAATTTATCTGCTCGTTACAGTAGAAGGATTGTCTTTCTGGCAGTCACCATTTTGGTAAATACGTATCTTAAATAACAGAAGACTTAAAAAAGTAGTAGAGCTGCTTATACAGAGGTTATGTATTTTCTGGTTATTAAGCCTCTCTCTAAGCAGATCATAGAATCATAGAATGCTTAAGGTTGGAAGGAATCTCAGAGGTCATCTAGTGCAACCCCCCTGCTCACACAGGGTCACCCAGACCATGTGGCACAGCGCTGTGTCCAAGCGGGTTTGGAAGATCTCCAGAGAAGGATCTATATTTAAAATCTCACAAGCACAAACTCTGAATAAAATGAAAATGACCCTAGCATAATCTTTGGTTCCACAAACCCTTGTTGCAAGTACAGATACTATTGGAGACCTTTTCAAGGTGGTGAAGTGTGTTCAGTGTGAGAGTTCTGTGCATTTATTCCTTGAAATACTGCTCCATAGACACACATGAATTTGTGTATGTCTACTCTAAGAGTATCTGCAACACATAATCAAGTTGAATAATGAAAATATGACAGAAAGTAAATGTGAAAGTGAGCGGCTGTGGGGGAAGGATGAATGTGGAAGGATGAAAGATTTAGTTAAAACATACTTCACACAAGGGAAGAAGAGTATAGTTTTAGGGGGTTCTTTGGCTGTCCTTTTGGGAGATCTTTCTGAAGATAGTGAAATTATACTTATTTGGAGGCAGAGAGCTTATAGGTACATGGAGGGAAGAGGTGCAGCGACTCGGGCATTTGGAAAGCACAGGTAATGGAACCTGGAAGTTCCTTGTTCCTGTGCTCCGTTTTACTGCTCTGGGTTTACTAGACCCAGCTTTGGAAGTGGGAAGGCTGAGGCTCTGCACGTGCAACTCTCGGGTATTTTAAGGAGCAGATAAGAGGTTCCTGCTGAGTGCAGCCCTCTGATGCTCCAGTATTGCCTGGCTCGCTTTTCTTTCTGCCCTTGCCACGACACAGGTTGGCTCAACTATCAAGCAGCCTCCCCAGATGAAGGGGCCTTGGTTTCAGCAGCCAGGAACTTTGGCTACGTGTTTCTTTCCCGAACACAAAATACCATCACTATAAGCGAGATGGGGATGGAAAGAACTTACGACGTCCTTGCTATCTTGGATTTCAACAGTGACCGGAAACGAATGTCTGTCATTGGTAAGCTGGTTACACCCACCCTTTAGTTTCTAAGACCTCTTCCAAAACAGTTTGCAGACTAGAAATTGTGCGTTGTGATCATATGGGGTTTGACTCTTCTAACCTGCTCAGCTTGCCCTTGGGAGACCAAAGGCAGCTAAATGTCAGTGACTTGTGTTGGCTTATGTAGCTGCGTAGCAGAGGTAGGAACTGGGAGCAATGTGCTGCGAGGAGCCGAAGGCRATCCATATTTTGTAGGTGAAAAAGTAAATGCAAGGAAAGATGGGGTCAGGGTTTGCTGTGTGACAAGATCCTGTTATGGATTTTACTCATCATAGCTGCAGTAGGCGAAGAGGCTTTGTAAGTACTTGTGAATGTGTTTACCAGACTGTCCTGATGCTCAAGGATGGCCTCTGCTGAAGACAACCTTAGGGCACCTTAGAAGCAAAAAGAAATGTTACCAACATGATAGATCCCCTTTAACCCAGAGGTCAAATTGCTCCTCTGTGATGCTTCTTCTAGCTATAGGAATTAGGTTTGTAGGCTGAGGTATGAAGAGCTTTTTAGTTTTGAATGTAATTACTGTTCAAGACCTTGTATCATTTTGAGATGGAAATGTTTTCGTTATTTTATTTAGCACCATCTCTCCAGTGTATGTCTCTCCACAGCTTCAGTGGGTGAGATGTAACTATTATATGAACCACCGTAAAAGCAAAATTCTTGGGAATTTGAGCATCTTTTCCCCTCCTGAGAAGGAAAAGGATGCATAGCTGAACTATGTTAAGAGATGATGTACTAAAAAGGAACAGGATCTTGTAGTTCTGATATTTAAAAACATTAAACTGGAAAATCTAATCTGAAACAGTTCCTCTGTCTAGATTGCTCTAACGTTTTATCCTACCACTTATATTTTATCCAACAGTAAGAGAATCTGAGGGAAATATCAGGCTATACTGCAAAGGAGCCGACACTGTCATTTATGAACGTCTGCATCCAAGGAATTTAAAGAGAGAAGCTACAGAAGAAGCACTGGATGTATGTTTGCAATGTATATGCTGTTTTCACAATAATGTCTTAAATTTCCTTCTAGCCATAATCTCATTTTATTAACCTCCTTTCTCTAAGCCACTAGAACAAATGCAGGCCCATAACTGGTAGTGGCCAATATTCCAAGCCACTAAACTTTGTCCTGTTCTTACTTCTCTGTTTAATCTTTCAATTCGGGCTACCTTGCACAGTTATGTTTTATCAGGCTCACCACTAATGCTTATAATCTGAACTTTGATGTTTGGTTTCAAAGCGAAGGGTTTAGTTTTGTGGATGTGCTTTTCTTGTTGCTTCTCAGATTTTTGCAAATGAGACGCTTAGGACACTCTGCCTGTGCTATAAAGACATTAGTCAGGAGGAATTTGAAGCGTGGAATAAGAAGTTCATGGTGGCGAGTGCAGCTATAACTAACCGTGATGAAGCTCTGGATAAAGTATATGAGGAAATAGAAAAGAACCTCATTGTAAGTAAAACTTACAGTGTTTTGAGTTTGTTTTCTTCTTACGTAAGCAGAAAGAGATATTTTAAAAAACAGCTTTTTCTTGTTTTTTGGTTGAGGTCTTTTGAGTATTCTGTTGGCCATCTCAAATTGTAGAGAGCTTCACAGAATGAAGGAAAATACGATAGTTTCAACAGATTATTTATTTATTTTTACCATGTCTTGCTCTGCTGTTCTGTAATGGACAAGTTCATTTCCAGTTTATGACAACATGTTCATAAAAAACAACAGAAACAAATGAACAAAATTGTTATCCAGTTGTTCAGGCCTGGAATAACTTTAGTTTGCATTTCTGCTCTGTGATTCAGCTTCCATATGTCAGAGGGTTTGTTTAGTTTCATTTGAAGACTGAATATAGTGTCATGCACGATGTAAGAGTGAACAGACCTAACAGTGTGATTCAGAGTAACACATCCTACAAAAACCATAGGTTATTTAGATGACTTATTTTGATGAGCAAAACCTGTAAAACCATATATTGGTGTTCGGGAACAAAATCAACTTTTAACTACATCCAAATCAAACTTTCCCTGTATAGAAACACCCTTCTCTGAAATATATTGTGCTTAGGTGCCTGCTCTATGGTCTTTAGAGAATTGTGGTCAAAATATGAGAATATTTTGGTGCTTCTAAAGAAATGCCTTATCGTAAACTTGCACTGGCTAGCTGCATTTTTGAAGTTCGCCATGAAATTGATTTCTGAACTCCTAGCTGATATTTATCTTTTAATCTAAAAAATATTCAAATCAAATATTTCACATCTCACTATCGCAATGTCATTTTTAGTCATTTTAAACTTACTAATTTAATGCAAGCAATTTGCATGGAAACTTCTGAGCAGACAATTTAAAAAGCAGGGACTGTAAACAGGATCTGCGTCCTACCCAAGCTGCAGAGGAACCACTTCCACCTGATGCAGCTCTTTGCTCTGCTGATGCACAACTAATGTTGTGTCCTGGTGATTTTTTTTTTTTTTTTAAATCTGCAGTCAGAATCCAGGTGTGACAAGTAAATTGTGCACTTTGTGTGTGCTAGACAGTGTTCCTCTCATTTCTGTTCTGCACCGCTGGGTTGTGGTTTCTATGTGGCATAGTCTGGTTTCAAGACTTGTGAATTTTTTTTTTTAATGGAAAGTGCTTTTTTATGTGTTTGTGAATTAGAAAATTGTCTATAATGAAAGTGGTTTTCAATAAACTTTTGTGTGGAATTGTTCTGACAGCCTACTGTCAGAAGAAAGTTATTTTGCTCATTAATATCATACTGCAGATTATTGAAATTTGAGGTTTCCAGTTTATAGCACTTTGTGCTCTGATACAGAGCAGATGTATTCTCGTCTTTATCTGAAATCAGTTTGGAATACCTGCTTCTTCTACTAACTATTGTGCTCCATCTAACCCACAGCTCCTTGGTGCAACAGCTATTGAAGACAAACTACAGGATGGAGTTCCAGAAACAATTAACAAGCTTTCAAAAGCGGGCATTAAAATCTGGGTGCTTACTGGTGACAAAAAAGGTGGGTTGACTTATTGCCAAAGAGCAGGCAAAAGTCAGGTAATGGCTAGAAGATAAACTGAAACAATTACAAACTAGAAATACAGCTTACGTTTTTAGAAAAGCTTTGAATGAAAGTAACTTAAATCAAAACTGGAGGGATTTCTGCAGAATGTGCAGTATTTCTTGCCAGGTGTTCCCAACCCAGAGCTTACTGGATGGATGTCTGTGTGATTTGTGCTCCTGCAGCATATTAACCCAGGTGGCTGATTTTGCGACTGTTTTCTGCAGGGAAACACCCAGCCATGGTCTTTCCTGAAGCAGAATTACCGCAGGACAAGCTGCTTTAAGGCCCAGCTTGCTGGCCGTGCGGGTGGGAGCGCAGCTCCCGGGGCAGACAGCRGAGAAGCCAGTCCTGCTTCCACACGTCCGTCCTGATCGTGCATGCCGTGTGGTCCTGGCTCTGAAACCTCACTGGCTCATACCCCAAATGGGGATATTTTCCCTCTAAGCTGCAGCTCAAAGCATAAAATCTCTTTAAACACAGGTCTTATTCTATCAGAGGTAACTAACAGGTGCTTCTTCTGAACAGGCTTCTCTGTGCCATATATGATTTTTATATTCACCTATACTGTGTGGAAATGGAAGTGAACTCTTCATACTTAAGCACAAGTTTTAAATATACTTAAGAGGATGTTAGGTACTTCCAGCTGTTCCCAACAGTAATTCATTACAGAGTTTTAAATAGATTCCTAAGTTTTAAGTAGATTTCCTGTTGTCTTCTTTTTTTTTTTTTTTTTTAAATTGTAGAAACTGCTGAAAATATTGGATTCTCTTGTGAACTCTTAACAGATGAAACAACAGTCTGCTATGGAGAAGATATAAGGCAAGTGAAAGCACGAAGGATTTCTCATGTGGGAGCTAAAAATGTTTAATTTTCAAGATCATCCTGGTAGTACCATTGGCTTCTCCTGCAGTGGTTCTTCAGTGAACTGAACAGCGTTCACAGGCGGTTGTTCAGTTGTACATGGGCTGTTTCTTTGGACATTTCTGGAATTGTCATTTTACAAGGCAAGATCTTCATTGTGGTTAAAGATGGTGATGTAGCACACTCCTGACATTAAACATTGGACTTGTGCTCTAGTCCACATAAGTAAGATTCAGCCCCGTGTCCGTGGGAGAAGGACTGGGCCCTTCTAAGAGTGTGTCACGCATTCCCAACCTGTTTTTAGTAATGGCAAGTGACTGAACTCTTCCTCATTTGAAAAACAGCAGAGATACTGATTTAATGTGACTGTCTCTTTGCTGCTGCTCCAGCACTGCCTAAAGTATCACATAATAAATAGCAGAAAGTTCTTGTAGCGTACATTGCATTTCTTTCTTACAGATTTCCAGTCTGGAATTGATCTATCAGCTTTAAAGATTGTCCTTGAAATTTCTGTAATAGTGTCTGCTTTCTCTTTGCAGTGCCCTTCTCCAAACAAGGCTGGAGAACCAGAGGAACAGAGCTGGGTCAAGTACACGTTCCTCCCTAGGAATGAACGAGCCGTTCTTCCAACGTGGTAGAGACCGTGCGTTAATAATCACTGGCTCCTGGCTGGTATGTCCAAAAGAGGCTCTCCCATGTGTTTGAGATGGGGCCAGGAGTGGCAGCGTGTCACACTGTCCCCTGCTCATCTCTCTGCTTTGCTGAACCACCYGGTGAAGATCCTTTGGCCCTTGTGTTGGCAACGAATATCTTTGATATTTATGCTCAGAAATATGTTTAATGTTGAAGATTGAAAGAGGAAAAGTGCTCTGTAAAATAAGGAATGTTTGGAGCCTTCAAAAGGTGATTCAAAATCACCGTGGTAGCTGCCACCGAAGAAAACCAGATCCCAGCAAAAGCAGTTTAGTTTCCAGTGTGTTTGTTCTTCTCAGGCATCCTAACGTAATGCAAAAAGGGCAGGGGGAAGAGACGACCGCTGCCTTTGCTGGGTGCGCGCAGTCCGTGCCGGCCAGAGGCTGTGCTGGGAGCGAGAGGTGCGAGCGCAAGGGCGGCCCGAGAGGCCAGGGCCTCTCTGCTGCGCAGCCCTGCAGCGCTCCCAGGAGCCGGGAAAAGGGGAAGGACCTTCCCGCAGGGAGGGAAGCAGCAGCACATCAGCAGGGAGTGCCCATCCCGGCATGCTGGCGCTGCGGAGGGCTGCGAWGGAGGAAGAGCAAAAGCAGTTCAGCACTGTCCGCCTGCGCCTCGGTGCTCAGCTTTCCCTTTCTTAGAATTCCCTTTCTCTCCTTTCCCTTCTCTTGACTCCAGCATAGAGGTACAGAGCTCTTCCTCAGGGCAGCGAGCAGGCCTGGCACCCGACAGCAAATCCAGCAGGGAATTGGGTAAAACTGCAGCTCTCTGTTAGCTCCATCCCAGCCACCCTGCCTCAGAGCTCCCCTGTGTCCGTGTGATGCTCTAGTGTGTGCTTAGCATGCACCTAGTGGGGTCACGCTGCCTTTGGGACACGGAGAGATAGGAGAGAGCGGGGTTTTAAATATCAGAATGTCTTTCAAAAGTGAACRAGCTAATTCACTCCTATCAGAAGAAATAATCCTTCAAACCCTGTGAGACGTGTGGTGACACTAAATACAGGAGTTTTGATTTTGTTAATCAGCAATAAATTTGATTCCATGCTCTGTTGCTCTTTGTCATTCCTCTGTATGAGCATGTTTTGAGAATGCTAGAAAGGGGACGCAATGAACTGAAATGTGGTGTGTGTATGTGTGTGTAAGGCAGTTCTGAGAGTGCCACTTGAAATGTAGCTTACGTAGCTATTTCTGCCTGTTTCCACAGAATGAAATCCTGCTAGAGAAGAAAAAGAAGAAAAAGAAACTTAAACTGAAATTCCCCAAAACAGCAGAAGAGAAACACAAGCAAATTGAGAAGAGAAGAAGGGCTGAAGCCAACAAGGAGCAGCAGCAGCAGAACTTTGTAGATTTGGCGTGCGAATGCAGGGCTGTGATCTGCTGCCGCGTGACGCCGAAGCAGAAGGCCATGGTGGTGGATCTCGTGAAGAAGTACAAGAAAGCTGTTACTCTGGCTGTTGGCGATGGTGCCAATGATGTCAACATGATTAAGAGTGAGTGAGCTATAGGGTTTGTGTCGCTGGGAAGCATCCTTTCTGGGAGTTCTTCTGCAGTCTGGCCACTATGAAGGTGTTGAGGAGAAACTAGAATTTACCTCTTTACCTGCGTTTACTTTGTGTGTTCTGCAGGTGCGTGCACTTTCCMTTTTTGGGGAAACCCATTATGTTTTTACTGAAATGCTCATATTGTAGCTTTTTCTGTAGACGTTCCCCAAGAAGGGACTTGGGGCATCTCTTGCTTTGTTGTGCGTTACCAAAGTGTAATGTAATAAGAGGCTGAACAAGAACTTGGCTGTCCTGTGCACAGAGACATTCCCCATGCTCTACTGCAGCTGGTGCTCTTTGAAATATTCCTTGGAAAAAAATCCATTGAAAAGGAAACTTTTCCATTCCTTTGAATTCCATGGAAAGGAAACTAATTTTGAGTTATTGTTTCTGTTAGGAATCTGTACTTGTAAGCTGCCTGGTCAGCTCGTTCTGGGGGTGGCAGTCTTGTCTCATCACTTAATTCTTCAGTCAGAATTCCCTTTCTCTCCTTTCCCTTCTCTTGACTCCWGCATCCATTCTCRTGCAGTAAGTATTTAGCCAAGGAATGCGCGTCAGCTCCGTGTCGTTTGTTTGCCCTCGCTCCTGTTGCTGCGCTCTGCTTGCACAATCAGCATGGGCTGTTTGTTTCCTGACCTAGCTGCCCACGTCGGCGTCGGCATCAGCGGGCAGGAAGGGATGCAGGCCGTCATGTCCAGCGACTACGCGCTGGGCCAGTTCCGCTACCTCCAGAGGCTGCTGCTGGTCCACGGCCGCTGGTCTTACATAAGGATGTGCAAGTTCCTCAGATTCTTCTTCTACAAAAACTTCGCCTTTACGCTAGCCCACATCTGGTATTCATTTTTTAATGGCTTTTCTGCCCAGGTAAGAGACATGCTCGTGCTTAACATGAACATGCAGATCTTCCTTTTGTCAGCACAGAATAGCAAAAGTTTAACCTGGGAAGTTAACGTGAACAGGTTTAAAGCCACTAGCTTGTGCACGAGACTAGGAAATGACTACTAAGCTAGCTGGTGACAAGCTGAGCAGCAGGTTAGGATGTAGGAACTCTCAATGTTAGTATCTTGGTTCTACAGGGGGAAAAAAAAAATATTAAGCAGTGGTTTAGCCATTTCATTTTTTTTCTTTCTTTTTTTTTTTTTTTTTTTTTTCTTCCAGTCTTTAGCTGTTTGCAAAATACTACTATGTTTTCACTCTTCCTATAGTCTGGAAAGTGAACCAGGTGCCTCAAAACCTGGGGCGTTTAGAGAATTTGGGGCTGTCTGCTCCCAACAAGAGAAGCTTGTGTGTCAAAAGCATGTCTTAGGGAGAGGCAAAGAGGTGCTTCCTGGCACTGCAGCCCAGGATGTTCCTGGGTGAAACGAGATGAAGAGGGGTGCCTTTATGTAGTAGGATGAAACCAACCTTCCCTTTTTTAATCTTGAAATGCCACTTAAAGTAATTGAAGGTCTATTATAAAGGGCAGTGTTCAGATGGCATTGCAAAGTTGTGGTCAGGTAACACAGGTGGTTTGTAGGGAGTGAAGCAGCTTAGTACTGTTTAGAAATGGTTTTCTCAGAACTTTGGCCTAAGGTACTGCTTGTCTTTTGGGGAAACATTGAGACAGGTAATTTAATGCTATTATAGAGCGTGAATGTTCTCAGGAGTTAGAAGGAAACAGTGTAATCAAAAAAAAAAAAAAAAAAAAAAAAAAGAACGGTTGAGTTTCCTTTCCTTCTTGCAGACAGCATATGAGGACTGGTTTATCACCCTGTACAATGTGTTGTACACGAGTCTCCCGGTGCTGCTGGTGGGCTTGCTGGACCAGGTATGTGCCACGTTGTCACGGGATGAATGCAAAGGCATTAGGTGTTCACTGCACTGAAGCTGCAGGCTTTGCTTCACATACAAGGCTTTTTTTGGGTTTTGCCTTTATTTCTTTTTTTTTTTTTTTTCCCCCCTCTCTTAAAAGCATTTGTCTTGCCTCTTCAGTGTGTACGGTAACAAAAGACACCAAGCAGAGGCTTACTGGTACACCCTAAGTTAAGCAGTCAGAGGTCCTCAGTGTTAACACTGTTTGTTAAAAATACTTCCCAGTGCCYGCTGCGTGGTGTGAGTGATGTTGGGAAAGGCAACGTTTGACTTTGTTAGTGGGGAACATGTTCCTCGCTCACCCGTCTGTGCTGAAGATGCAGGGAGTGAACASATGTGAATGACTGGGTGTCCCTTAGTGTGTCTTGGTGTGCAGCATTTGTTTTAATTCACTGGGATGTGTGCTYGGGCCTTCTCTGCTTGTTTTTCCAAGCGAGGCCTGCCAGCTGATGGGGCAAATCAATATTTCTGCTTACTTGTGGGATTAAAGCTGAAATAAATCCAGCAGTAGATTAAGCTGTCCCCTGAGCACATGTTGGAGACATTGTCAGCATGTGCAATGACAGCASTAGCATCCTGCTTGCAGTGCACTGGAAGGACCTGCACAGCGTATGGCTGTAAGGAGAACCTGGCTGCGATGTCCTTATCCACAGAGAAGGAGATAAAAAATGAGACATCTTGGAAGCAGGTCGTGCAGCAGCTGCGAGAGCAGTGTTCTGGAGTCTTGGTTCTTCCTAGCAGCAGGACATTCCCCAGAGTAACGTGGTCAGCCCCGAAAGGAGAGCGCTGCTTCCTCTGGGGCACTGGAGCTTGCAGCCCACGCCGGGAACTAGGAAGTTGTGCAAGTCTTGGTAGCCCCCCAAGCTCCTGGCCAAGCTCCTGGTCCAGGCCCCGGGGTCGCTGAGGGCAGAAACATGTTCTGTGGCCTTGGCATGTTCCTAATTGCAGCTACTTGTTTCYTTCTGTTAAGGATGTAAGCGACAGACTGAGCCTTCGGTTCCCTCGATTGTATGTTTTGGGACAAAAAGACTTACTTTTTAACTACAGGAAATTCTTTGTAAGCTTGATACATGGAATTATAACTTCACTGATAATCTTCTTCATACCATATGGAGCTTACCTTAAAACTATGGGGCAAGATGGAGAAGCACCTTCGGATTATCAGTCATTTGCTGTCACAACAGCCTCTTCTCTTATATTTGTCGTCAATTTTCAGGCAAGTAAGCTTATTTCCAGGGTCTCTGCTCTCAAAACACCTTCTGGTCATGCTGCTGAATACTGCTGCTGGAAATGTAATGATATGATGCACAAAAGCACAGAAAGGCATTTTTTGCATTTCTCTTTCAAAACTTTCTTTTTTAGTCTGAGAGGTACTTGTATAAGAGAAGACAAAAAAGTTGGCAGTGTACAGAGTAATTGACTTATATTTTGAATCAATTTATTTTTTCRGAATGATTTTTTTTCCCTGACTTTCAGATTGGTTTGGATACATCTTACTGGACTTTCATCAATGCTTTCTCGGTGTTTGGGAGTATTGCACTTTACTTTGGTATCACGTTTGACTTCCACAGCGCTGGAATCCATATTCTCTTTCCTTCTGCCTTCCAGTTTACAGGTCAGTCATCATTTTTTGCATGTCTTCTTCCTGTCTCAAACAGCTTTGAGCTGCCAAAATGTCATGCCCTGAACTGATGCCTTTAAAAGTAGATGGTGGGAAATTTCCAATTCACTTTAAAAGGAAGATGGTGTTGATGTTTGGGGCCTGGTTGCTTTGCTAGAATAAACCTTTTCCTCTAATGAAAATGAGCTGGGACTTGACACTGTGCAGCAGTGGGAGCTTGCCAATGAAAATAAAGTTAAAATGGGTGGGACAGAGACAGGGTGTTTTGGGGATATTCCCTGAAACAAAGGGAATCTGATCATCTCACAGTAACTTGGCAGCATGTGACACTCATGCCCTAACTGGCCACGGGAAGGTCAAAGCCCAAGGCAAGACAGAGCCCCATGCCAGAGTACCAGTGTGCGAGGTGCTCCAGGAAACAGATGTGCATTTTAGCGTGTTATTTATAACTGCTTTACCTGACCGTATCTTATATAGACAACAATTTAAAACAATTCTCTGCTCTTGTTTTCCTCAGGAACTGCACCAAATGCTCTGAGACAGCCCTACCTTTGGCTGACCATGGTTTTATCAGTGGCTGTTTGCTTACTTCCTGCTGTTGCACTGCGTTTCTTATCAATAACAGTCTGGCCTTCAGAAAGTGATAGAGTAAGTAAAGTCCTACAACATTTTAGTTAATTTGGTGCATGTTTATTTATGGGATCCCCTATTAGGTCAAATATTCAGAAACAAATAAGACAAGCGATTGTGCTCTAGCCTGGAGGATTCGGCTCCTGAGACCAGGGAGGATGGCTGCTGGGGTGGTCAAAATCCTGACTTTTAATTGCGTGAAGAGCAGTGCCAGGGTGTTATGCCATGCAGCGGAGTGCTCCTTTGCTGTGTTCTTATGCCCCGTGCACCTTGTGCAAGGTAGAGGTGCATGCACAAGRGCAGCACACACGTTAGCCGAGTTACCTCTCCCTCGGCTTAGCCCTGGCCTGTGTAGAACCACRTGAGCCTGCACTAGAGCTGCCGCGGGTGGGCCCTGCCTTAATTTGGAACCCGCTCTGCTTGTGTTGTGCCTGGAGCTGGCAAATTGCACACACACACAGAAATAGCAATAGTGCGATAAAGTGTCCCTTGAAAGCAGAGCAGGCGCTGGCGGGAGGCGGCGCGGCCCTGACCACCGCCTTTGCCGCCCCAGGTGCAGCGCAGCCCGGCCGTGCCGCCCGAGGAGCCGTGGCGGCGGCGGCGCAGCGGCCTGCGGCGCGGGGGGCCGGGGCGCCGCTCCGCCTACGCCTTCGCGCACCAGCGCGGCTACGCCGACCTCATCGCCTCGGGCCGCAGCCTGCGCCGCCGGCGCCCGCCGCTGCACGAGGGCCTGCGTCCCCACACGCCGCTGCACGAGGGCCTGAACCCCGCCGTGCCGCTGCACGAGGGCCTGCGTCCCCACA